CCCTTTCAAGATGTTTTAATGACTTACCATGCATACAAGAGTTTGCAAAAAAAATACTGCCCACCCTCTACACAGTGTTAAAACTTCTTCAAGTCATCAGCAACACAAATCATTACATAACCAGTAACAAATACATAACACTAACAAATAACACAACAGCTTAAAGATCGACAAAAGAAACACAAAAAAAATGTAATTTTCTGAATTTTTTGGGAGATCAAGAAAATATTCATTAGTTGTTTGCTTTTTATTCATGTTCTTTCAAATATCTGTGGCTGTAATGTAGCTAAAAAGGTTCCTGTCGCAGTCTTGGCAAGGTCATCTTCGTTGCTGAAGTGTTTTGACACCATCATGTAATCCAGTTTCTCACATATTCAAGCATCCAAGATTTAACCCTCTCGCTCATTGCAGCTTTTTTAACAAGTGCAGTTTCAGTGTGGTTTAGGAGCCTGTTCCTATGACACTTATTTCTGTTTCAACATACAATATACTTACACCAGCTGCCACAAAGTCAGTGTTACATGGGCACTAACTGAAAACCAGTTAAAAAAACACTTTACTGGAGACAAAGAAGATCAACTGAAATTTTGTCACTGTGAGTTAAATATGCAGTGACAAAACATGGAGTGACAAAATGAGTCACTCTGTCATCTAGGCAGCTGAATATATGACATAAACTGAAGTTGAAGCAGGAGTGGAACAGCAAGAAGTCAGTTTTCCTCTATTTTCCCTTTGTCAAATTTTTAAATATTGCAGAAGTCATTTGTAAATGCTGTTGAAGACTTAGGGGCACAGAATACACAATTAGCTTTTTTGGATGAATGAGTAAATTATGTTTGCTGCTGCGAACAAACAATAGGATCAATGAGGATGAAGAGTCTCCCTGTAGTGTGACCCTCTAACTGCAGTGTGAAGTTAAAGCTCTATTTAAACATATCTTTAATGCAAGCAAATGTAAGCAATTACTAAAAGTGACTTTCCTCTGGCTGTGAAAATAAAAGCACATTTTTGCCTGTTCTTTATAGAAGCAACATAAACTGACTCTTCCAGCCTTAAACCAGCACTGGAAATGGGTAAATGACAGCTGGCATGAGATTTTGCCTCCAGACTTCGAATGGATAAATCCTGCACAGGAATTAGACATATAATGTGTCAGTATTTGAGTATTACGTTAAAAGCTGATTATATATTTGCAAGATCCACGATATTTTATCTCCCAAACTTTGAAATTTGAGGAGCTGCACCACAGTTAAACCTACTTAAATGTTGCACTTTTCAAATTCAGTTTAATGTATTCTCTTTCAAGTATTGTATTTCTGCAAAGTGCTTTAATCAACGTCAGCTAAGTAATCCTGGCTAATCTCTCTCTCATTGGTTCATCATTTCTCAGTTGCTGAACTGTTACATTTCATGGTTCCACTGGTTCCCTGGCTTTCTTTTAAGTGTGTCACTTTCAAAAGTGAAACCAACACCTTCACACAAAGCAAGCTGAAAGAAACAAATCGGTCAGATTCATTCGGGCAACAAGAAACACGTCTTGTGACAAACAAGCTTGGCCTCATGAATCACATTAACCATGTGTCTGGGATGATGGTATTAGTGACTGAAACCATTAATTCTATGGGATTCTTGAAAAGGTCAAATGCAAGAATTCCTGACAAAATGTTCAAAGCGTACTAAGTATTTCCACCATATTGATTGGTATGCAAATGTAAGAGGAGCGTTAAAATCAGTTTTGACATTCATTCCAAGAACCATAATAATACCATCCCTAATCCTAACCCTGGACTCAAATATCTTAAATCTAAATACTAGAAATATTGTCAACTGATGACTTCTTCCTCTATGAGTTCTTGCATTTAAAAAAAGATAATTATGTCAAGTATTGCATTATAAAGAGAGATGTAACCAGTGCTCCGAACATGATCACAAAATTCTAGCATTTTGGACATTTTAAAAAGAAGTTAATGGTGTAAGACAACCATGAAAAGTCGGTTTGAAAATATGAGTTGCATCTGTGCATGCTGCATAAATGAAGAGTGTCATAGCAACAGCAATACTATGTCAAGCAGAATGAATGTCACTATTCCACTTCCAGAGCGTTCTGGACGACAACGGCCAACGGTCCATACTGCAATCTGGCTTTAATATTAAGATAGTGTTAGATGAGTAATAACATCGGGAGGATTCTGTTGAGTGTTTTGGTCAAATTGCAACTATAACTTTAACAGGCCACTTGTGTATCTCCACTCTATTTTGTTCCCTCCTCTCTGTTTATAGACCCCCACTGTTCTTTTCTCCTGGGTCCTGTGTGCTCCTGCAGGGAAGCACTTTTTCCCACTGTGCATGTATTATCTTACTTGCTGAACTGCCATCATTTACCTCGTCAGTATCAGCCTTGGCCCGGGCCAATGTGGACCTCAATATTCAGTCTGTTCTATCAAATGTGTTTAGTCATTAGGATATCAGAAACCCCAATATTGTGAATCATAATCTGAGCCATCATGACTCGGGGTTTAAAAATATGCCACATGGATTACAGTATCTCTTCAGAGTATACTGTATGTGACTTGTCAGAGAAATTGAATGTAATGTGATGCCACAGCTCATACTAAATCACTACATTAGGTAAAGTGTTCACTGGTTTGCAGCAGTGACGCCCTGCTGAACTAAACATTACCATGTACCATTTGCATGTTAGGGTATGTACTTCTTCCAAAGTCTTCACAGAATGTCACATTGTGTCATCTCAGGCAGACGTGATTATTGGGCTGGCTGACAGCAACAGAAAACACATATTTATCACTTTAAGGAGATAATTGGGTGTGAAAACCTTAAGGTCAGGGGATAATAAATGAACCACAAGAAAAGAATTATGATCATGACTTTTTTTTTACCTTTGTTGGCTGTGAATATATTTGAGAGGTTGCAAATGAAGTGTCACATTTTGTATGAATGCACACACAAGCACGTGCACTCCAACTTGATATGCTGTGGTCCCATTTAACTATGCTACGTAATATCATATATAGATATCAATACAGCACTTTATGTGGAGGGCAAGGAAGCCACTGTATGAAATTCTGTCGGATTTATTTTAGATTAATTGCATTGTGTTAAACATAAGACATAAATGATTAAATAAAACAAACGTGGTATTGTTCGCGGAAAAAGTAATACCCTGACAATTTCCTGGATGTTTTCTTTTTCATTTCTTGTAAGTGTCACAGACACAGATTAAAATACTGTATAAATGAGAGAAGGAGACAGTCACTGCGTTCCAACATTGTTATTTTGTTTGTTGGATGAATGTTTATCATAATGCACCACAAAAGTTTCCACAGAATTAGAAATAGCTAAATGAGATATAAATAAATAACCCTTATCTTAACTACTAGTTATCAAGTGTTGCCAACCCTAGTGATATAATTTTATCATAAATCCCAGTCTCACCCCACAAGCTGAAGATATTTGTCTCTTTGACTTGTTATGTAAGAAATTCTGGATTCTATGTTTGTGACAATGTTGTTGGTGCACTGCTGCTGCCAGTCCAAAATCCTCATTGGCAGGAATCACTGCTCATTTTTATCTGATCTTCCTGAGCTAAAAACAACATACTATGTTACAGCTCAACACACTTGGCTAAACAAAAGAAAAGTCCCAAACAAGAAAGAATGTTTGGGGTGTTTAGAATTTGTTGTTTACTATTTAGAGAATCTCTTGCCCAATTGTATTTGTCATGGAATCAAGATGCCATTATTTGGTGTGTGCCCAGTGATCCTTATTGTCCCAGCTCTACAAAAAAGAAACAGCTGTCTTGATAAATAAGGATACTTACTTTATCATTAAGGCTGATTAATTCCATTAGTCAGTGAGGCTTTAACTTTTTCAGTAATGAAACAGAGGATCAATTATTCACTATGGCAACTAGTACAGAATAAGACAGAAATGAGGGTATATTAACAAATGCACATGATAAGTAAATGTACAAACAACTCAGTTCCAGTAGTTGCATCAATATAAATATGAATCAGCACTCGAGAGTTGAATCAAGAGTTATATGTGAAATATAACTCTTGGTGTTTACTCCCTATAAACCAGACATATGTGCCTGTGTGCACAGACATGGAAATGGAAGCTATTGATTTTCTCACTGCTTCAGTACAGCATCTAGCTTTCCTGCTTGCACTGCATGTAATATGAGGCCACAAGTATTCCTTTACCCAGAGCTATCAATTGTGCTCCAAGCTCCCTGACATGGATGGAATCTGCCTAAGTATCTCTCTCTCACCACACATATCCTCACATTCCACCACCAACCAAAAGGTAAATGTGACTGTCAAGTGTTAATTGTGTTAGTGTCTGAGTTATCACCATTTACCAGAAGGAAAAATCATTGTGCTCTTTAATTCCTTAAGAATTTTTCTATCAGTAAAGAAACATCCAATGCACAGTGTGAGGTGGCACGTGAGAGCACAGACAGCACGATGAAGGCTGGATTGATATACGGTATAATCTCCAAACTCTGCCAGTAAATATCAGTTTCATGCTCAACAAAAGACTAGGAGGTAAACATTCACTAAGCGCCACTATACTTTTCAAGAACGAAACTTAACCATCTGGTACTCTAATGAAAATAAATAGATTGGCTGGTTACACAGGGAGAGGGCGCCTGGTTTGTTGCCAAAGAAAAGAGTCCTAAACTCTACAACTGCGTTCGAATGTGGGTGGTGGATACAATAAATTTAGCACGGAAATTAAAAGAGATGACTGCGTATTAACAACGAAAAGCCACGTGAGTGCTGTAGGACTCTTATATCTAATTTTGATTTGCAATCAACACTGTATCAATCAATTAAACATTTCCTTAACAAGTACAATAAAATTGTAATGCACTGCATACCAATTATATCAATTACTTTGCTGAGATGTAAAACCAAATACTTCCACAGAATAAAAGTAAACTCTGGAAAAACTTGGTTGTCTGTTCATTTTCCTGCTTATTCATTGATTTCTTTCAACATTAGATTTGACACATACATCAGGTTTATTTCAGGTATATTCCTTACCTGTAGCCACTGTGATTGGTCACTGTGTCCAGCTGTCCACGCATTCACTTTGCCCTGTTTGTCCAAACGGGCCTTTCCTGGCTCCCAAGTGAACATGTCCATGTTGAGTGTTCTGAAGATGCTCGAGGCTGTGACCTGATAGTCCTGAATATGCCCTGACTTCATTCCCAAAGGTTCAGAACAACCTTTAAAACAAAACAAAAAGACAACATTTGCACAATCAGGCTACACTGTCTAAGTAACAACGCATAGTGGACAATCAACTAATTCAGTTCAGTTAATAAGTATCGTATACCTGTTAGCTCACAACCCAGCAGCTCCATTCGTAAGGTGCAGTGCCTCCTGCAGACTTGGGGGTAAACACGCACGTACTGCGCTTCAATGGGAGGGGTGAAAGAGTTGGCTGATGGAGCGTTGTTATCCACGTTTCCTCTGAAAATCTGTTGTAAAGGATGAAACAACAGCAGATGTGGGTGCAGGGGGACAGTGAAAGAAATAACTTGGCTAACATGTGACTGTCTGTCTGGCGCTGTCTCTCGTGTCTACTCAACACTCAACAAATTGCTGTCATTCAAGGTCAATGAGTTTTAATTGCAGTGGGAAAAAATAATTTCCTGCATCATTTCAACCGGTTAATTCATAAGAAAGCACATCTTTTAAACTGGCACTTCTATTATCCTCTTGTACGTTCTGAAGTGTTCTAAAGATAGTATGATGATAATGTTAACATATCAGAGTGACCGTATAAACTCAGTCAGCTAGAGGAGATGAAAAAGGATCAAATTACATCTAAATCTACTTTAATCAATTTAATTAATTAATCAAATAGATTATATGGTTATATATTCTGAAATGTTTTTTATATATATATACATATTATATGCTAGTGTGTGTGTGTTTGTCTAAGCAGCAGAAAAAAATGATTTATTGTTAGGAAAGGTTATGTGGCCTGTTTGGTGACTGTTCATCCCTAAAAATTATAAAGATTCAATGTAAAAGTCATAAAAGTAGAGAGGGGTAAGGGGCAGCAGGGTGGGCCCAGTGTGAGCGAGATAATTATGAATCCATCCCATCACGTCCTCCACTCTGCCCTTGAACAAGTGCACAGTCTTTACTCTCTGAGTGCACAGGTGGATGAGAGTGTGTCTCTGGATTGGGAGTAAGAGGCAGTGGGTAAAAGTGGATATGCACTCTTGTGTCAGTGTGCTTGTGCGTGTGTCTCACCATATCCTCATCTTTGCCCTTGACTTTATATGTTCTCCAGGTCTTTCCATCATCGCTGTGGGCTACTTTGTAAGACTTGATATACTCCGGGCTGCCGATGCGCTTTGCACCCTGGGTAATTAGGCCTGTGACCCTCATTCTCCTTTGGAGATTTATCTGCAGAATCAAAAAAAGAAAAGGTTAATTAATTCATGTTTTAACACACACATATCTGATGTGTATCGGTGAACACAATCTGTGGAAGTATGCTTGTCATGTGGATAAATGCAGCCCCTTGTTTCTTCAGGGCAAACTGTTTTATCCAGGAACTCAAGAGATGGGACAGATCCTTCAATCAATTAAAAAGTTCAAACATGTAAACTCCAAACAGAAAGGTCCCAGTCCCTTGGGGAATCAAACCGGGTACCCGGTTGTTGTGAGGACAGGGTGCTAACCACCATACCACCATTCGCCCCCTTTAAATGTTACAGGAACTCCAGGTATGGACAATAAAAGCATGACATTTCTATGTTTTCCTACAGTCGACTAACCACAACCTTTCATTTAGCTGAAGAGTGTTACTAGCCTTGTCATTCTGGTCAGCTTCTGTGAACAGTGAGATAGCTGATGACAGCTGATGACAGCTCACTTCAGTGTGACAAACACAGGGGCTATTAGTGACTAAGCAGCAATGACATGTGGTGTTAGTCACAGGCCGTACTTACAGACAGATGGTTTGAAACAAGAGAAGCAACTATCTGTGTCTATGCTAAACTGAACAGTGATTTGGGCCTTTGACATGATCAGATATAAATCATGTCACCTTATCGTCCTCTCCCCAAGCACATTTACGAACATTCGAAGCGTAAAAAAGTAAACATTTCACAAGATGGTCTAAGAGATATAAAACTACTTTCTTGAAATGTTTTCCAGAAAGAAGATAATATATGTCGATGTGTCTTTCCAATAAGTATAGAAAGTCTTCATTGGCAGGTTTCAGATTCTTTCTTATAGGGTTACAATAACTTAACCTATCCAAACTGACTGCTTAATCCTATGCCAAATTCAAATTTAGTCTGAAATTAAGTCTTGAGCCCCAGAAATGATTTCGAACTTGTAAGAATAAAACTGAAGCTTCCATATAACAGCATATAGCAGCAGCTCTGGATATATCAAACATATATGTTTGCAGACTCTTTAGCTTTATTATTCTTTCATGTTTTTAAGGTGAGAACATTTTTTAGCATGCAGAGAGATTGTTCATGTAAAATAAACTAAGCTCTGTCTTCAGATAACATATGTAATGAGGGTATTCTTGCTCTTAACTTCAGAAGAATTGTTAACAATCATCAACCTTTTCTGAATAGCAAAAACCTAATACAATGCTGCATATGAATTCTGGTTATTTCATATCCAGTTTACCATATTAAGGGGCACAACTGAATCAAACATGGTTTTTGCTCTACCAGCTTAAATCAACACGTCATGTTAATTACACATTAGTACCAGTGTTGTACCCTCAAAGCTTAGATGTCCCTTATTTTCACATTCATAACATTTCTTAGCTCCTCTCAAATTCTTTAACAGAGATAAGTACTCCTTACACTAATTAGGAGCCCTGTCACTAAAAGGCCACTGCTGGGGTAATTAGGGTGATCCTTCATATACTTAATGGCCACTTAGAAATGCACCTCTGTCAATTTTAGTGCTAATAAAGATCCATTACATTATTTAAGTGATGCATCATTTGAATAATTCTCATTTGGTAAACCTCTGTCGGCAGACATGTGTTTCTCATCGTGAACAAAATATCAAATTCATTATTACTGGAAATGCACAAAGAGGGCACCGACAAATATGGAAAACTCTAGATTAGATGGGTATTTAATAACTATGGTCCATTTGTAAAATAAAAAAAATGTCAGCTGTTTTTGACCTTGCAATATTTCTGCAACTGCCAGTAACAAATTGTACATCTGAGCCCACATTTAGTAGCTCTTCAGTAAAAATCATGGTTCAGGGGTGCTTTGCAACTTCAGGGCCACAATGTGATACAGTTATGAAAACAATAAATTATTCAAATTTAGATGTATAAAATGTTACGGGAAGATGTCAGGCAGCAGAACAGATGAAAAGCTAGAATGGAAGAAAACAAAGACCTAAAGGACACAAATTCAAAGGTTGCCAAGCAGGAAAATTCTTTGCTGTGTCAAAGTTCTTTGTTATAGTGCAAATCTAAAAGGATAGAAACACCTAAGTAAGACCTGGTTGAATAAATCAATGTATTAATTAATTTCTGTGCTTGTGGATATGTGGAATCCTAAAAAAACAAGATCACAAAATTGTTTCAAGTAACTACCCTCTGTCATGTGCTTTTCCTCATTCTTTTTCTGAATATGGCATTTTTGTAACTGTGCTGCAAGGTGAAAAAAAAACACAACTGTCTATTTGTTACAGAAAAACAACTCACATCAAAGGAGCCAAACAAATAAAAAAGTGTGCCCTGGGTTGCTTCTCTGTAAGTTTTGTGCAGAGACACAAAGTAAGAAGAAAGTTTAAAATGAACTCTTACTCAGTGCTATCCTTTTCACCTTTCCCTCAAATTCTTTCTTTTTCTGAACATGCATGAACTATCTTTAGTATATAACTCTCCTGGGAAGCCAGAAAAAAACAAACAATTCTAAAGTTTCTTTATCATAAACTTTAAAAAGAAAAATTTGGCAACAATATAAAACGGTATGATAAAACTAGTTCAGCCTGTGCCGCCTTCAGATAATGTTCAGCCTGTAACCATTGGTAACATTCTGAAAGTAACAATGTGCTTAGCTGTGGTCTTCACTAACTGCAGGGACAAAGGATTTTTCTAGCATCTTGAATATGCTATGGAATTCTATGCCGAATTGTCCTGCTATTTCTAACTATGACATGATAATAAATATAATTAGATATAATCAAATCTTTATTTAAATAATCGTGGAAAAACAAAAACGCCTAGCTCATAATACAGTATTTGGAATAAATCACGTCTACAAACAAATTTTTTAAAATCTTTTTTCTGCTGTTTGCATTTAGATTTAGAGCATAGATACCAAAAATTAACCAAATTTGGTTTAAATATAATGATTACAGTTAAAACACAGTGTATATAGAGCACAGCTTGGGTTTGAGGAACAGCAATGGTCTTTTTCCTTTTTATTCCTCCATATTTCAAAGACATAACATATATTATATTAATCGAATAAATGATCAACAGTACAGTCAGTGGGTTTTTTAAACTGCAAATGACTGCCATAGATATAAATGAAAAGAAAAAAAAAATTGCTCACCCTCAATGAAGTGACTAATCCACCTGGCAGATCATAACATGTGAAAAGCTAAAGCCATTGTCAAAACAAAGCAACAATACATATTCTGTCTTTTTACACTTCAATATTTCCATTACGGTGTCTCCAAATGAGAATCGTATAAAGTGAGATCTGCGGCTTTGTGAGTTATTCTCAGGTAAAATCTCTTGGTCACTATGGTGGCCAGTTTTTTCCCCAGAACACTAAAGACATGACCTGCAGAGGCTATCTTTCTTTAAATATTCTGAATATCTTTAAATTGTCTGAATAAATTACTTCTTTCACTGATTCCAATCTGATGATATTCTAGGCAGTAAACTCTAAAGTGAAAAATGTTCAGGTATTTGTCTTTTAATATGACTTTATAGCAAAATTGAATGGCCTTAACCTATTTTTCATAAACTCAGATTATCAGTAATTCAACCCATTTTAAATAGTGGTGTATAAAACATTGTAAAAATAATTTGATTCTAAATCGTAAGTTTAACACCATGTTAATTAGTTAATTAGTAATTTGGAATCATCCTTCCATCCTGCTTATATCCTAATGGGGAAGTCCATCGCAGGGCCACACAGAGACAAACAACCATGCACACTCACACTCACTTCTAAGGGCAATTTGGACTGGAATGTCCAATCAACCTAACATGCAGGTTTTTGGACATTCGGAGGGAGCCGGAGAACCCGGAGAGAACCCACGCAGACACACGGAGAACAACTCCACACAGAAAGGTCCTGGTTCCCCCGGGGACTCAAACCCAGAACCCTCTTGCTGTGAAGCGATGTTGCTAACCACCACACCACCGTGCCGCCCTAATTAGTAGCTAGTTAATTTTAGTATTTAACTTAGATATTAGACGACCTATGATGGGTTTGAATTTTACTTAAAACCAACCTTTTTGGCAGCAACTCAGTGCCAAATTAGCAACTACTTTTTCAGCTAAACACAGTGTATGTCTGGACATTCTAAACTGACAACTGACATTACAGCAAGACATTTCCACATATATTTTAATCATAGTAAGCTTGATATGGACAAATGCAGGCCCACAAAGGCCATGATTACATAAAGCGTAGGGAACACACAGTTTTTTTATAAAAAAACTGTAAATACAACATTTTTGGTACACACTGAGATCAAAACTGTAGGAGGAGGTGCAACATTTCTGTAACAATTAGGCTGTCCTTGAAAACGCCTTCGAGACCTGTGGCACAGTTTTGTAAAACTGTGCAAGAGCACACACGCTTTACGCACTCAAACATACAAATACAAGAAAAACCAAACGTAACTCCCTGCAGTACATTTATGTATAACAGCAAACATTTTATTGATGCTTCATTTGGATCAGAATTAGGCCATGCTAATGTACGTGGCTTGTTCACAGTGTCTCTCATTCACTCATTTACACATGTACCTGCACCACATACCCTCACGCATTTTTCAAGAGATGGATGAACTACTCTGAAGTTAATTTAGGTTATTTCACTCAGTACTTAGTTGTGCTATCGGTGGTGAGTTAGTTACATAACTTTAGGCATGTTTGAATGTTCCCTCATTCTTGCTATTATAATCCAGACTTTAATGACTTAATAATCACCTCACTCTTGTGTACTGCTGAGTAATATTATTCAAGTGATGTTAATACTATTGAAGTTGGTAATAGTTATGTGGAAGAAGCAATTGATTGTACGTAATGATGTAAAAGTGGCATTTTCTGATCATTGCACATGCAATGAGCAAGGGTCTGCGGTGCTCAAATAATAAATAAGCAAATCAAGAAAAAAGCCTATAATCAACATATCTTAGCCAAGGAATTTTGTTATGATCATCACTTATGTGAGCTTGCTTTAGGTTAAGTTTTTGCAATGTCAGCAGATCACCAACACAACTGTTCACTCTGTTTAGCCCTTTTTCTTTGCCCAGCTTAACAAGTCTGGCCCTATAGATATAAAAAAAACGACAATTGTAACTGAACTGATGGAGATTTCTGCCCAAGCATTATGTCATCATCTGTATGATTCTTATTGTAACATGTACAGGCCCTCTTAGCCTTCACAAGTGATTTGTATTGTTTCATTCGTTTAACACGGCTGGCTAAAGCTATATCTTGCTGATATTGGTGAGACTAGCAACATATTTCCCTTGAGTGTTCAAATGCAATTTTATGTGTGAGATAGAGGTGGTGAGGGTGTGGAAAATTCTCAAAGTATGTAGGTGTTTGAGCAATGTGAGGTCACACACACACGCGCAAAAACACACAACTCAGAGGCCTACCAACATGAACACCTGCACATCTTCATCGTTTTCATCCTTTGTCTGAATCTTTGTGATGTGTCATTCAAAGAATGCTGTTCTCTGTGCGTTTATGATTGATACATTTTTTGACGATTATGGTTCAAGAATAAAAGAGATAAAACTGGCACACATGCAAAGGTTTACGATGTGAAGGAAACCATAAAAATAGCCATTCAAACGTAAACCCGATGACATTTTCATCTGTCAGTGTTAACCTGTTTCACGTGACAGACGTGTAAACAGCTATGCCACATCACTCCACACAACAAAGGCATGCTACCGACTGCTTGGTTTAATGCCAAAGCACTGACATGCCTGTACACCACTGTACTCACATCCCAATTATCTGGGCCCTCTGAAGAAACACACAATACCGACAGCATCCTGCGTACCATCCCACGTGGCATCATTAAAGTCAAACACACTGCTTGAATGTTTTATGCCTCTCCACCTTTTCCACGTACCATGCTATTTTTTTTCTTTCCATCTTCTTTTTCCTTATTTTTTTTCATAATTCCATCTTTCTCTGTCTTATTGTTCTCCTGTTAAAAGAGAACTCTGTTGCAGTGTGGGGTATTTACTTTATTATTTTTTCATGGTACTCTGTGTATAATTTGTTTAAGAAGAGTTCATCCGGAAAAGTGCTATCTGCCATCACATAGGTAAATAAGGGGCAATAAAGCTGAAAAATAGCTTTATTATTAAATAATAACTATATTATTTGTAGAGTTAATGAAGCACTTTTAGTTACAGCTATGTCTGCAAGAGTGTCTACTGGGGTGAACATGGAAAGAAGAACTGGGTTTGACTGCTAACAAAAAGGTTTAGTGCTATTTATACTATTTTGTGATCCTGGCATTTGGCTTTTAGTATCACAAAACTATGCATTGTGTAGTGTGAGTTTCATGGTCAAACAGATATGATTTGTTGATAATAAGAACGTTTATGGCCCTGCAATGGACTGGCGTGTACCCTGCCTCTCGCCTACTGAATACTGGGATAGGCTCCACTTCCCCCCGTGACCCCGTTGGGGTATAAGCGGTTCAGAAACTGGATGGATGAATTACATATTCTTCTTGTGAACTAAAACAATTGACATACAAATGGGACACTAGTTCTCACTATATGTAAGGCTATTTCCTTCACAATATCATCATCATCATCGTTTTTTTAAGAATAATAATTAGATAAAACGGCCCCCAGAGTGTGCACTAAGTGTAGCTAAATAAAAAACATAAAAAACTACTGAAAACTACACAAAACAGCACAAAATATATTTAGGGAAGCAACTCAGCTACAGAAGAAGTCAAAAGCAATGAGATCTGGGACATGACAGGACCGGCGAGGATAGAATCAGGGCTTGCGATGTGCAGGTAATCCATTTTATTGATCTGTTTATGTTGCTCTTTGAAAATAAGCACTGACTAATGGCAAGGCATGAAGGTTAACTTTAACAAAGCTTGAGAGAGATGATAGTTTCATGTATAAATGCTTTGCTGTAATAAATATTCAATCTTCTTTTTTCATTCACAAATATACTTATATTCAATAAGAAGCTTTGGCAGCTGGCTTTGGAAACAGTCTGGAACACGAAAAGGCTGCAAACTGAACATGAAAATTACTGTTGTTGGGAGTACAAATAAGCATCAAATAAGTCTACCAATAACACAACATTTTGTAAATTAGAATGGACAAACAATAAAAAATAAATCATAATATGCTATTCGGATAATTCAGCTTTGATGTACAATGAATACCTTTTTATTTTACTTTCAAACATATAATAATGAGTGACTTTCCTTTGTGTAATATATGATGATATACAACATTTGTTGCATCTGTCACATCCGCATTCAAAGATATGTTACCATGGAGATGGCCGACAAACTGGCATCAAGGTTCTCAGAAAGGTATCAATTGATGAAGAACACAAAAGGGAAAAGGAAAGAAAAACAGGCGGCTGTCTATAATTAAGACTGCATGGTGCCTGTCCTGTGACTGTACTGTACCTGGATCCATGGCCATCTGTCATTTTCGGCAGCAGTCCAGGCATTGACCAAGCCTTTCTTGTTGAGGCGTGCAAAGTACGGGTACCACTTCTGCAAGCCAAAGAGAGCGCGATGGGTGGAGGAGGCTGTTATCTGTTGGTTGGAGATTATACCGCCCTCCATGCCCAGCGGACCAGAGCATTCTGAGTGAGGAGAGGGGAAAAGAGACAGATGAACCCTTCAAAACACAAAAAGATGCGTGCAACGTGTCTGAGGAATGCAGTTTTCAAACATGCCATAAAAGCAACAGCTTTAAGGTCAGAGTTTTTTATTCATTTTTTTAAGTCACTTTTCAGTGTCCATATGTCAGAGATGATACACTTGTTCCCTGTAAATATTAGATCCATGTATTAAACAAGGTTAGATACAACCTCAAAGGTTCCTTTTTCTCTGTGGACATTCCTTTAATCCTTCACAGTCAGCATATTAATAGTCAAAGTTGGTTATATTGACCTTTTCCTTTTTTACAGTGACTGTTGCTTTGTGAAATAACAATAGGGCTCCATATGTTTTCAAGCTGTCAAAAGTCCCTTTAAGGCAAATCTATCTACAGGAGAACAATATTCTGTCTTCACACTGCACAGGGTTTTTTCAAAGGCTTTGTTTTTCATCTTTTCTATCAGGAACAGAGCCCGTCGGCTTTCTCGCAAGATGATGGCCACTTCCGGTTTGCATCTTTGCTAAAGTCAAGAGGATTCTCTAAGAGCTATAAATTTTTTAAGAGCTCTAGTATTAAAGTGGAGTAAAATATATATTTAGAAAAAACACTGTTTTCTTTCTCTAAGCTCTTTGTTTTCCCAGTCAATCCTTATTGGCATGTCCAGGCACATCAAAGTATTTCAAATTGAATGCAAAAAAAAGCCTGTGGTGATGCATTCTGGCAAGGGTGCTCCAGTGAATAATTTGTTGTTTTACAAAACAATCAGCTCTTTATGCTTCTGTAAGAAAAAAAGGGTGTTTGAGGACATTTAGTTAATAACAACAATAAAAACATGAAATGCGATGTAGCAACCGTCATAGCATGGGAATATAAACAAAAGCAAATGCCTTTCAGTAATGCCATATCTCACTTACAGACACAAATTTGGCTTATGCTATCAAAACACATCGGACTGTGAGAACTCACATGCTGTGGACAGATTCACCAAGAAATATCATACTGATGTACTGATTCCTCTAAAACGTCCACAATAATTAAGTTTGTGCAATGACATCATCACTGAGGAGCCTTGGTGCGCCGACATAACATCCAAACATGAACTGAACTGTTGCTGGAAACAGCTGTGACACTCTGCCAACAACAAAATCAATGAGGTGTGTCTGAAGTTCTCCAGATTCTTTGAGCATGAACATGCTGTGTATCCCTAATGAGGGTGTGTCCTCTCAACAGCGTATCATGCAAACCTCAACTAGCAATAAGCCAACTCAGTCACTAAGAATTGAATAGAGATTTTCTTCACATACTTTGCAATCTGTGAGAAAGTAGATAGTGTTATGCAGCCTTGACGCATCATTACATATCTTCTAGGCCACAACAAAGCTCCGGCCCTAACTAGCTCAAAAGCTTTACTGAGGATTGTCTGCATTATTCATGACAGATGCTTAAGTTTTAATTAGCATTTTTAGTCAGGAAAATAGCTGATATAAACTCTTGCATTTTTTAAAGCAAATTCCAAATTACTTCTATTTTCTATACCACATATTCCTGGTAGGGTTGAAGGGAACATAAATCAGCTGACATGCTATACCGTGGACAGGTTCCATGTCCATCACAGGACCACTAAGAAACCAAAGACAATTAAGAGTGTCACATGAACCTAGCCTGTTTTTGGACTTACCCAAAAACCAAGAAAGAATCTGCACACAAATGATAACAAGAAAACTTCACACAGTAAGGATGCTGGATTCAACCCTCATAATGTGAAGCCATAGAGTTAACCATTACAACCCTGTTAAATATTGACTTAAAAATGAAAATAAGAGGATATTAATGAAGTTGAATCGTGTCATTCCCTAAAACGACAAAAATCCACTTCCCCCTGTGGCATAAATAAAGTACTTGGATTGATTGAACATAAGAAAACTATTTCAATGATTTAACAGGAAATTCACTGGATGTTGGATGTGTGGCAAATAGCACTCAATACGTCGAGGAACCTTTGCATTCTTTTCATTTCTAGAATGTAACTCACACTTACAATTTAGAGGAAAAACTTGGTGTTAGGGTTAGTTGTTGCACAGGAATAACAATTTTCGAGCAAAATATGTCATAGATGGTGATGTAAGTATGCTAACTATCACAGAGTGTCCTGTATTTAACATCACTCATGGGGAAATGTATCCTGTTAAGGAAAGAAGTAATGTCGTCCTTTAGTTTACACCTAAATGTTGCTAATGACATAAGGCATAAAACATAATGTGAGATTTATGAGCGAATCTGAATTCCCATTACTCCCATGAGTGTATCTCTGGTCCACAGATGTTAGTAAAACCATGAGGAAGGAGAAGTGAATGCATCATATAAGCATAAAGGCAGGTCAAGATAAGATTCCAGTCAAGGCCACAGCTTGCTTCTACCGAATGAACAGCAAACTGTGGCTGAACTGTGTTTGTGCCTTTAGGGGATGCCTGAGGTAATGGCTACTTGAAGCCATGATACCTCCTTCCCATTTAAACAAAACACCTGGGCATTTCAAACGTAGGGCTGACACACAGCCAGAAGAGACACACATACACCAGCAGACAATAACTGGCAGCACTATGGGAAGACTTTCACCATGCTGGAATGCCAAGAGTTAGGTAAGTATGGAACAAGGAAAACAACCCTCACATAAGTTATCCAGCTGCTTAAACATTGGGGCTCTGGTCAACAGGGAGCCAAGGAGACATTGAGTAATGTCTGAGGATGGTCCGAGGAGAATCAACTGGAAGCTGAAAGAGTATATTGCTGTAGGTGTATGTGAGTGTGAATGTGTGCGTGTTTATGCGTGTTTTGATAGAAATGTGTTCATAATTCCAATAGTTCTTGCCTCACATGTTTTTCCTTGCATATGACTCACTGCTTTTAGACTGGTGTAGGTGGATACACTTGCTTATATATGTGTATTTATATATATAGGTTAATAAACTTCAGTTTCAAATCACATTTCCTTTCTCATACATCTTGCAACATTAACTTCTCAAGTCACTCTAAGATTGTGTTTAAATACAAATGCCAAATATGAAGGACAGAGCTTTTACTAGACTCAACATTTTCTGCTTAATCAGACTTCTCTCTGAAATCAAGAGCAATTTAATTTAAGTCTTACTGCCCATTAAATATGCATTGTCATGATCCTTCAAACATAATGAAATGTGATAGCTATCAAACAATGCTTGGCCGAGTGTGTGTATTCAAAACCAATCAATTTCAACAGTCCATATCAATCTGAATCGAAACACATTGTTATCAATATTTCCGTGCATGCATGCGCAAGATTGGTTTGAGTTATATTCTACTATCAATATGCTAGCTATTTAATAATGGTTTAATATCTACAAACAGTTACCAAAGCTGTTATTGAAATGTACCGTCTGACTAAATGGAAATTATATAGCAGGAACTTTTCAATAAACAATGAATTTTCTGAAATAAGCTTGAATACTGAGGCTCTCTCCCACAGTTGATGTCTTAAATAGTGAGACTGATTACATTTCTTGTTACTTGTCCGAAACTGTTGGACATATTAGGAGATATGCTTCGATAGCGTCTAATGGAAAACAGACACTGCAGCTGGTTTGTAATCTGCTGCAAAAACAACAAGAAGGGGCAAATACAAAAAAACTAAAAATCTAAATGTAGAGTCAACGTACAGTCAGAGCTGCAACTTGAAATCTGTAAATGGCTTAAACCTTTTATTGAGCTTGAGTGACTACAAAATTCGAGTTCAGAATAAATAACCGTCCTACATGTCTGATGGGAATATTCACCTCATGATTAGCTGCATTGTTTTCCTTCTGACTTTTTCTTCTCTTTTCTGATTTGCCACGGAAAATAATCAAAACATGCACGGTAGGAGGAGATCATTTCGAATGTCATTTCATCCAAAATTTAAAACACTTGATGTGTAGTTTCCCAGAGAATGTCCTAACGTTGTAAATAAAGGAGGCTCTGTTGCATCAGCATAGTATCATATTTGTCTCGATGTTTCAGCGGTACTCTTGCAAGATATGTGTGGGTGTTGTGACCAGACTCTGTTGCAAAGCTATGGTTATTTTCACCTTGTGGCAATGATGGGCCATTCTTAACGAGCTGCCTGCCATTCGACCGCTGGAGCAGCGGTGGCAGCCAGCCCCCGGGCCTTGCCCTGCTGGCCTCTGAGCATACATCAGCTCTGCAACAGCCCGCGTTGCTAACACCAACACTACCGTGCAGTGACAGCTGAATCCATCTCCCACAAGCCCCACCTACACCCTAAACAAATTACCGCTAGACTGAAATTAATGCCAACACACCAATACTAATGAGGATGCAGCGGAAAGAAAGGATGAGGAAAAGAATAATAAATAGGCAAAACAGATGCCCGTGTGTAACTGAAGCTTCCACGGCTAACAAGTCAGATCGGATGAATTGTAGCTGCTCTGCATGTGTCAAATGCTGTAACTGACATTTAAGTGTACATCAGAAACATAATACAAACATAATAAATATGATACAGAGGAAATACTCATTCTGGAATGTCTACCGATGATAATTAATTCACTGGAATTGTAGTTTAAGAAACCAAATAAATGTTGCTTCAGCTTGTAATTTTTCTATTAATTTTAGAGCAAAAGAAAAAACATTACTTATTCACCCTCCTAACCTTTTCACGTCCTTTTTCTAAGTGGATTCTGTTTCATGCCTGGGATAGAGTTTTAAAAATGCTGACCTTTTGATGAAGTCCAATTTTTGTTTGGTTTAATATAAATTTAAGGTCATTTTCAGGATGAAGAAAGGGGAAAAATGTGTTACAGTTTCCAAGCAGACACCTGATGGTTCAGATTTTTTGGGGGCCAAAAAAAAGTCTTTGAGGTAATTATTTTTCAATTCACCTTATGTAAAGCCCTAGTTCATTTAAAGTCTCGATGTCTTTAACACAAAGGTTCACAACTGATGTGATGCTGATTTGGTAACATGTTTGAGTCTTCTCTTGCCAATTATATCCTCTGGAACTATGGTAAAAATGTCAAGGGACACATACATTTTAACAGGAAAATTAAGTGCATATTTTACTAGGGTTTGGTCTTCTTGCAACATATCTCAGACATATGAACGACAGATGGGTTTTAGTTGTATTGCTTAGTCCTTCTGCTCCTTCAACTTCACCATGCCCTCTTGGCAGTAGCCATGACCAGCGTACTTCTCATCGAGCATAAATCTATTTTGAATGTACACCCTGTTGTGAATAAAAGAAAGATTGTATTAAATATATTTCTTAAGAGTTCAAGTCTTCACTAATTCTCAGAGAAGTATCTTTAACTATAGCCAGTTAATATTCTAACCATCCTGTATTAAAACTGACAATCCCACATTTGTTACAGTAAAGAGAAACAGACTAAGTGTTTAATCAATCAGTTTTAATACTTTCTTGGATACTTTATAAGAACTGATTTAGGACAGAAATAGTTGAGATAGTTGTCGTTTCGCACCATTTTCTGTAACTCACAGAAATTGGTATGAAAAGCCCTATATAGTCTTAAGAGACACACAATAGCTCAAAGCTCACTCCTACTTTTGCATTATATTCCTATTCTTATTATAGTAAGGTACAGCCGGAAAATGTATAGCAGCTACATCTGCATCAGCATGTGTGTGCCGGTTTTGCCCACACAGACAACGTGGGCTAAAGGAACATGTCAGAACAGAAGATGAGTGCTTGAATTACAGGCTTTCACCCTTATAACACTGTCTTTGGCGAAACCAAGGAACTGTAAAATGCACTCAACAAGTAATGAATTTCTTATCATTAAGATTAAAAACGCAATATTCTGCAGGTAGAAAGATGACACCTCCACTTCCTCCCAAGAGTATAAAAGAGACACACTGTCTTTTGATACACAAAGCCTCCTTTGTTTTCAGTGCTAGTTATGAATAAATATGAAAAAGTTACTTCTTCAGTTTCTTGGATAAAAATTTCACACAGCTAAAAACACACCCACACCCTCAGCCTCACGTCTCAGTAAAACCTACTTAAGTCAGGACAACCTTACTTCAGTTCAGCATAAGTGATAAGTGGTTAGTACTGTTGTGGACACTTACTGGTACGGTGTCATGGCCCCTAACATACCTTTTCACTATCAGTCTCATTTTTATCTGATTGTTTTTGACGCCAAAGCTTACCTCCCCAGGTATAAATCTGGGTTAAGTAAATCATTAAGGAAAAGAGAACTGAGTCTGTCTGATCTCTTAATGGTAACAAATATTTAATCTTCAGAAAATTCTGTTGCAAAATTATCTTGATATTTTGAGACATGAAAAGATCATTGCATTATATTCATGTTGGTATATTTTACACTCTTGTCTTTTAATAATATTGAAGAATCATTATTATTTAACAAAATTATATTGTTCATGGTCCATTAATCCATGTATTGTATCCGCTCACTGCGTGTAGAGTCACGCAGGCCTGGAGCCTACCCCACCCTGGACACCTTGTCAGTTCTTCAGATTCATTCTGGGGTTTAATTCTGAATTGCAGATTAACACATTGAGTATATTTTACATGGTGGAAGCTGGAACATTCAGAAAGAAGCTATATATACAAAGGGAGATCCGAAAACCACACAGAAAGGCTCCGCCTTGGACTCTAGGTGGGAACAGTCTTTGCTGTGACGAAGTGGTGTGACCACCACACCGTGATGAAGAATATACTGTGGGTTCCATCTGTATTTGATACATTCATTTGTGAGTATCCGTGCATGGGCATGCTCTCATGGAGAACTTGACTGCATATAATATCCTTATAATAGCTTTATAAACCCACAAAGGCATTTAGAGCTCTGTGGCGTGGTACATCCGATAAGTCAGACACTCACTCCCCTTTCCACATTCAGTGTCTGAAAATAAACTATGACTAATAAACAGAAAGTTACTATTTGATACTATGAATGCTAAGTCTTTATCGTTGTCTTCATATTGTAACACTAGTGGATATATTTTAGTTCAAGTGTGAGCTTGGCCTTACATTCTTCCAGTAAATACAAAAGATGGACATGATAAACTGTGCTCACACTACGCACAGTTCTTTTGCAGCTGGAATGTTGTTGGCACAAGAGTTGCCAGTTATCTGGTAAGCTTTGCTACTATGATGAACCAATGTACAAACAGACACACAAAACGTAACAGCAGAACAAAGAGCAAGCAACAAAAAAACGGTAAATGTAAATAACAAACAAATTCAAGGATATGTTTAATTTTTATTTGAACAATCAGCAAACCTGTTGGGCAAACCAGAACACATTTTCTGGGCAGTACTACCAACAACAAACATGGGAATTTCTGAAAGACTATAAAGACAAACATGACTTACTGTACTGACAGTTCCTCCCCATGTACTCTCCTGGGCATTCGCAGGAATAGTTGGCAACCAGGTCAGTACAGATGCCCCTGTTCTTACATGGGTCTCTTTCACATTCGTTGATATCTGGAAGAGCCAAGAAACAAGAACGGGTGCAGTCAGTTCTTTGGTGCAGACATGTGGTCAATTACAAGGAATACCCTCATTAAAATGCATTGTGAGGAGCATGTATTGAACTTTCTCTGTATGTTACTTGATTCTTGGCTTCTGCAAAAACTCCCACTCACAAATTGAGTTTCTCAAAAACTAATAAATCAAATGACTCATTGGTAGAATGTTAATGCAAGAACAAAGGCACAGTTTAAATGTTAGAAGCCACTGACTTCCATCTTTGTACCTGTGAAAGGGGATCATGCATTCTCCAAAACCTGGGACTTCTTAACAGTAATTGTGCATCAGAAATTCTAAAATCCTTCGTAAATCTATTCATATATCACAAAAATAGAAACGGTAATCAAAGAGAATGAACATAACTGTTTCAGGCACCTCTTCTATCCAGTTGAGGAAGCTCCCAGCCCATAAAACACAGTAGAGGCAATACATATATTTTACCATATGTCCGTTAAAGGCATAACCATTTACAAATAGAAGAAATGGCAGTTAGGTTACAAGGAATAGAGTGAACATTTTGAACTTTTGAGCAATTCCAAACACATTTCTAATGATTTCCGTACTTGGCAATGATAAGACTTTTAATCCTTTAAAACTTACCCAGAGCTATGTGTGACTTAAAAATACATCTGTGGCTTCATGGATATGTAAATGAGTTTAACATTTGAAAAGCTTGAGAAAGTAAACAACATTAAAGTCACTATTTTAAGATTTTATTTTTATTTTCTGCCTGATATCTAATTTGTCTGTAATAGTACGCAAGCACTTTTGTTAGGTGTTCTAAAAAATCTTCATAGAATGTTTTACATTCAAGACTGTTGGAGGCAGCAGCAGCAGTTTGGTAAAAGACTACAATGACAATCCAATTTACCAATAAGATAGAGAAAGCAGAGGGAAATGTTTTCTTGTTTAACTAATAAAAATCTCTGAGACCTGAGAGACTGGTAGAATAGACATTCTTTGGGTGCTATTACTCATATTTCTTTTGTCGAGCACACAGGCAGCACAACTCTAAAAAAGCAATACGGTTTCAAAAGCCTCATATAAGATAAAAATGTCAACGTAAACACTGTGTTTTCACATTAAAAAATTCAAGAAATCATGTAACATGCTGTAAATAATTAATCACATGCAGTTAACAGCTTTGTAAAAATGCTTGAAATGCCATATGTGTTTTCACTTCATCATTCGCAGAAGACTCTGGTAAATAAGTTTTATTAACTGTCTTTATTAACCACAAGTAAAGAGCCACATTTTCACAGCTGGTAATAAAAGCCCTTTGTCAGAGACGTTGCATCAAAACTTAGCTATGATGAAATTTAAATTGCAGGATTGATCATCTGATTGTTGTGTTCTTCTTCTCTTTTTTATTGTCTCCCTACAAAGATGTTTTATGGTTGTTTACATCTACTCAAAAGACATCTTCGGAGACATTTAACATAAAAAATGTATGCATCTGGTGGTGGTTTGTACAAAGTCTCCATATCCCCCAAACTACATCTTGTGACATATTTTTTATTGTTTGTTGGAGTCCATGAAACGCAGTGGTAGCGAAAATAATTAAATTCAACTCAGCATAGTTTGCTGAAGAGCTGGAATTTAAAATAGGAAGATAATGGATAATAAGACAGCTTTAGAGCATACCTTCATTTAATGTTACTTTAAATATTATACTTGCTTACATATACAAATATGTCGTAATATCTTGGAAATATAAAACAAATGTCAATTTTCATTATGTCTCAGTCTATTGTAACATAAGCCTGCCTTAAGGAGAAAAACAGAGGCTGCTTATTTCAAACTGTTCAGTTTTTAATTAATCTTACTGCCTTTCATTCAGAAAGAAAACAATAATTTCAAGAACCAGTAATTATTGTTATCGCTGTAGCAATAACAGTCAAAATAAAAACAGTTATTAATCAGGGACCATGTGAGCATGTCCTTGTGAAACAATACTTATTTATTTCATATCAAACTGTACATGGAAGAACTACCTTTTAGCAAATTGCCACTGAGATGTGACGACTCACCATTAACTGAACGTCAAGCCATCTTTAGTGTGGTAATATGGTGTTAGGGGAAACTTTAAAATACAAAAAAATCAAAATAATCTTTAAGGACTCAAATTGTAAAGGAAATTGAGAGTGAATACGCGCTTCCTATATATATATATATATATATATGTGTATATACATGTACCGGTATATTTATTCTTCAGCAAAAAGCAAAAGATCATTTGATCATGGTGCTTATGCCACTTGGATGTCTGATGCCGTTGTTAACCTGTAAGGAAGGTTATATCCTGCTTCATTCAGAACCAGTAGGTATAAACATGGATAGCAGCCAAATGGCCCGGCCATTCATGTAGCCTGGAGCAGAACAACCCTCAGCGAGTGAAAAACACAGCTAGCCCATCTAGCTTCCCTTTCATGAGAGGCCATCAGCCCCCAGGAGATCACTGCTGGGAAAGTCAGACCCACCAGTAAATCAGGTGAGAGAAAAGGGATTAGTTTGGGAAAAGGAGTTAATCCATCTGGTAAAAATTAGAGGAGAGATGAAAAGCCTGGAGAGGAAGGGACAGACAGAATGACAAAAGAAAGAATTGGGTAGAAGATGTATATGTAGCGAAAAAAGACAGGTTCCATAGGGAAGTGCACGGTAAATTAACTTAGTTTATACTCATTTAAAACAGAACAGAGACAGAAGGTGACACTAGTCACAAGTCTGATGCAATTTATTTTACTTTAACTGTTCCATTAAAGGTTTAAAAACAGGAAATTATTTAGTTACTTATGTCTCCAGTTTAAGGAGGATGGTTAGAATTTAAATATCATATTTAATCAATTTTGTTTTTTTAAGCCGATGTAAACAACAGAATAATAGAAGCCAACTGAGACTGATGGCACTGCGATGGACTGGCGGACTGTCCAGAGTGTACCCCGCCTTTCGGCCATTGACCACAGGGATAGGCTCCTGGTTGGATGGATGGATGGATGGAATTGAAATCGAACACAATGGCTTAAATCACGACAGCTCAGAATGTTTTTGTTGAATCTCTGCCAGAAACACACTCGCTGATCGGTGACAGCTTTTAGTGGCATCACACTGACTGCAAAGTCCAATTCAACGCTACCTCTCCTCGGGATGTTACAGGTCCTACACAGGGTGCATGGATGCTTTTTAATATGTGGATTAAAGAAGAAAAATATTGAAATATTCCAAAACTGTTACCATCACTGCCGTTATTTATCTCTAACCTTGCACATACCACCAAAGAACAAAGCTTTCTGACAGAAAATAAGATTCATTTAGTATCTGCTAAGACTCTCATTAATGCATTGGATTTTCTTACTATGTGGCTTTACTGCTTTATTGGTACCTGGAAAATGTCTCAGTTGGACAATAATGAGAGCAATGAATACTGTTGTGTGGCAGGATTGAACAGTAAGTGTGAGTGTTAAATTGGCTATAGTGTGACCAGGGATCTGCAAGAAAAGTTCTTCAAAGGGAGGGAGCAACTCTGTTCTGGGCTGTAGTGACCTTTACAGCATCTGCACCAACAGCAACACAAAGATCATTGATTCTACTTCCTTCCTTCATTCCACGGTAACACTAAATTCTAATCTTAAAAGGAGGGTGATTGAGGGGTTAGTTTAAAGTATTATTTGGACAGTTTCTATTCTGGATATATCCATAGTGTTGTCTGTAATGCTATTAAAAAAAAAACACTCACAGGCACTATTTGGAATGTATGCAGATATATGCAATTGCATCAGAATGTCTGAACAGCCCCAAACAATAATATAAATAACACAAGTGAATGAAATAAACACCAGCTAATAGCTTGTAATCCTCTCACACTTGCAAAGCCCCCAAACTTAATTAGCTAAATGAAAGGTGGTGTCTCTGAGGTATTGCCCCTACATCCCAGTAATTTCCTTTATTAAATTTCACTCAGATGTTAGGTAAAACTAGATCAAACTTTCTCTTTCCTCTGCCAAAACACAGTGAGCCAGACAATTGGAGGTTAGTGAAGACTTTGTTTTCATAAGTAAACGCCTCACTCATGTTTCATCTCTACATCTGGACTTAGTTTGGCTCAAACGCATGATTTCACGGGAAGAGTTATATCTTATCTCATCTAAGTTTTTTTCCCCCAACAAGCTGATTGATGTACAAATGTTTGGTAAGAAGGTTGTTCCTTCTGATCCTTCCATCCATGTAAAGAGCAATGTTTGACCCTTGAGATCGGTTATTGACAGAAATTAAGTTGGAAAGTAGTTATTTACGTCTATCACATTACTAACCTCTAACCTCAACAGAGGGACTTGGAAGAAATCACCCCATTTTTTTATTGAGAGGTTAGGTTTATTCCTCTGAGACAAGACAGGCTTTTGCTCCTGATGCATTGCCATCCATTGTGCTTCTGCAGATGTAAAACAGACAAAGAACATTGCAGCACACCGGCAACTCTTCAATCAAACTAAATGAAAACCTTGTGTGTGTTGAACATCCTTAAGGATACTCCAGCTTTTATAACACTCTCTTATATATTTCATATGAAGATGTAAAGGGGTCTAAGAAAATTGAATGTCCATTCATTGATGATATTGGGCTGATATATCTGTATTTGCTTGAAATACTGACTCTTTCTTGGTCTATGGGAGATCGGCTTTAGACGCTTCCTTTGACAGGTCCCAGTGCAGTGATATGTGTCTTGTCCTCACTACTAAAGGCCGAGACATCTCTCCACTGGTTGAGTCATTTATAAAGGAAAGAACAAGGAAGTGTCTGTCTTCACTGTCAACCTATGCTGTCAGTCTCTCTCTTGCCATAGCCACGTCACTGAGGTGACAATCACAAGACACTACTCCAGTCCTGGTTGACGGGGTTTCACAGCGGTTTGAAAAGGAGGCATAACAACACCGAGCTCATCCCTGAAACGTGTTTACACAGTGATGCATTTAG